CTACGGAAGTAGGATTGCCCAACCTTCCTTCCGAGGAGTGGCTGGTGGGTTTGAACCGCCAGCCTTCTGGTTAACAGTCAAGTGCCTTAGGCACTATGCTACCAGAGCTTCCTTATAGTACCTTGATTTTATGGCTGTACACTGACATCTAATGTCTGATGGAATGTTTTATTCTTTCATTTTTAGACATTTATTGGAAACTTGATCCCAAGCATATCCACAGCTTGGCTAAGGCCCCATTGTTATACTTTTATACATACTCTTCTAACAGTTCTGTAGTCTATCATTGGGTTATCATGGATAAAATCCAAACGCCAAACCCATTGCCACTGAGTTGATTCCAACTCATGGTGTCACTATAGGACAGAGTAGAACTGCCTCATAAGGTTGTAATCTTGGTGGAATTACATCCAGAACACTCTTTAGAAGCAAGAATGCACAGACTCTGTCATGAACACTTTGGTCATGTTGTCAGAAATGACCATTTCTTGGAGAAAGATATCATGTTTCATAAAGTAGAGGGTTAGCAAAAAAGAGGAAGACCCTCAAGGAGATGGACTGAGACAGTGGCTGCAACAGTGGGTTCAAGCATAGCAAGTATTGTGAGGATAGTGCAGGACCAGGCAGAGTTTCATTCTGTTGTAAGTAGGGTTGCTGAGTCAGAGCCAACTCCATGGCACCTAACAACAACACCATACAAAACACACAACAATGTAATGAATGACAAACCACTCCTTGATTATGAATTCAATTTGGGGATCTACCAGAAGAGAGATGAATAAAGAGCTAATAAGAAAACTTAAGATTTTTACTTATTACATTATTTAGCTCTTAGTGAAAATATTGTTTTACTTTTTTTTTTCTTTTTCACTTATTACATTTTTCTACCTCTTAGCAAAACAAAACAAAAAAGAAAATCTTGTTAATTGCTCTCAATTTCTAAAGGCAAAGTTTAAAACAAAACCAGGTTGGAAATTTTCTTTTTCAATTATCTACACACAAAGGATGATTTGACACACTCAAACGAAAAGGATATGATGCAGAGAGAAAAGAAGACCCAATCTGTGAGAGAAGGAAGCATGAAGAAATACAAAAGAAATATACTAATAAAAATGATTTATTAAAGTGCTAAAATGAAAGGCATTATTTAACTCTGGAGAAAAAGAGAGAGAAAGTTATGACCAATGATATGATCCTAAATGTACACAGAGAAAGAAAACCAGATCTTCTTCATCTTTCTCAAAACCACAACAGGAAATGAAATGCAAGATGAAGGATTTATCCTGGAAATAAGAAAGGTATTTCTGACAGAAAAGATAAAATACAATGGAAGAGGTTATTGAGGATTATGGTGGATTTCTTTGTAAAGGAAAATAATATTATATTGTCTGAAAAAATATTATATATTTAATGATTTTGCAAAGCTCTGTAGCATGGAGCTTTATCAGCATATAATGAAATTCTTTATTAAAACATACACCTAATAAGAAAACGATGACAACAACAACAAAAATCTCTTGTTATCAGTACTGTAAACTAAATAATAGTACCAAAATATCATTAAAACTTCAAGGTACATAATGTTTATTTACTATGATCACTTATAACCAAAAAGTTTTCCAAGAATTTCTTGGAGAAATTTCTCTAACTGAATTTTCAAACTCACATAGTAAATACCTCTTTATGCTATTATCTTGCTCTTACCTTTACAGTCCCTTTTATTTGAAAGCATAATAAAACCACTGTTACAGGAGCAGTGGTAACTTCCAGGTGTATTATCACAAATCTGGCTGCACCCTCCATTTATATTTGAGGGATCTTTGCATTCATTTATATCTGAAAAGGGGAAAATACTTATTGTTAAAGTAATACAAGCTTAGAGAACTTTTTAGGAAGCCAGAGCAGGTAAACTAGGTGGGTATATTATACATACCAACTTCACACTTCTCTCCTTGCCAACCTGATTTACAAATGCAAGTGAATGTAGCTTGGCCATCTGTACAGCTCATATATCCATCTTCATTACATGGCAAAGGATTACACTGGTCTGGAATGGCTGAAAGAAATAGACTTTAATTTTTACAACAAGCCAAATTACAATAAAAGTATGTTCTCTTCAATGGAACATCTATTCATGAAATCATAATTCCTTCCATCAGATAACACTTACTCATTACAAAGTGAGTCTACTAGGGACATCTTTAAAATTGCTTTGCAAAATGAAAATACTTTTATATTTGCAAACATGATCCTCTTTTAAGCTCTATCTATATAGAATCAAACTGACAACAGCAGCTCAGAAGTTTAGATAGGAAATTTAGAGGGCAGCAAGTTTGTGTTAATGAGGGAGGAATAACTCAGAAAAGGAGGGTGAGAATGGTTGCACAACTTGAAGAATGTAATAAATCATTACAATTCATGTACACTCAAACTAAATTGTACACAAAAAAGCTGTTGAATTTGTGTATGTTCTGCTCTGGATGTTCTCAACAACAGCAAAAGAAAATAAATTATATTAAAAAAAAAGAAAAACAAAAAAAACAGTTCCATGAGGTAGGAAGAACAAATACTACTATTCTCAGTATCAACAGAAAGAAGAATTTGGGACTTCTAACTTGGGCTAACATGGCATGACAACCTTAAATAAATAGAACTCTAGTCAAATATATGAACCAATATTTAGACATTGGACAAGGAAGTAAAGTACTATAATCTCTCAGGGAAAGGAAATAAGCAAGTTGACCCCATCTTGCTTCCTGGAGACAATTTCCATGCCACAGTTCACGGAACCCAAACACAGTCCAGTATTCTCCCATAACTGAGAAGAAAGGTGGCATTTGGGAACGTCAACTAGAGTTTTGCAGGTCATAGCACTGTAGAAGAGAGAAAGAGGGAAAGAGACATATAGCCATAGATCTTCAGAAAAAGGTTCTCTTGAGTCTTGTAACAAGACAAAATAGAGTTTACCAGGAAATATTGCCAAAGGAATATCATCAGGGAATAAAAGAGATTAAGACAAATAAACAAAAGATGTTAATTATTGAAAAAAATACAGTTGTCATTGAGTCATTTCTAACTCATAGTCACTCCATGTGTGTCATAAAACTGTGCTCCATAGGGTTTTCAATGGCTGATTTTTCAGAAATAGATTTTTTCCAAGGTCCTTCTGGGTGGACTTGAACTTCTGATCTTAGCATCCAAGCCCTTAATCATTTGTGCCACCCAGTGACTCCCAAAGCTCAGTTATAATACCCTTTGCAGTTTCCTCATAAAATAACATAGAACTTTATTACTATCTGAAATATGTCCATTTCTTTCTTTCTTTCATGATCTTTCTATCCTCACTAAACAATGCAACGCTACCTTGATTCCTGCACATTTCCACGGCTGCTTCTCATGCTTTCCTAGTCAACTCTGCAAATTCCTCCTACCCTTCCAAAATATTCCCTTTTGCTTAAGGTAGCCAGAGGAAACTTCTGTTGCTTGCAAGAAACAAACAAACAACAACAACAACAACAAAAAAAACAGCTAATATCCAATAGTTTCATAAATTTTCATATGTCCTCATAAAATCATCAGGCTTTTCTGAAAAGTGGTAAGATAGTAGGTATTAGTTAAAATGCTAAAAGAGAATAATAGGGAAAATTGTTATTAAAGTTATTTTTTTCCTGTCCTTTGGTAAATAAATTAAAAAAAAACATAAAGTATGGATTAAATATACTTATCCAGAAAAATTATTTTATATATATTACAGAGAAGTTAGATAAATGAGTATCTACATACTGTCAATGCCATATGTTTTAAACATTCAATGGAAAGACACCCCCAGTTATATATTGCAATATCACCTTTTTTCTCTTTCACTATCAGTTGAAAAATTAGAAAAATAGAGGATGTAAATAATCTATCAGAATTATCAATAAGCCCTATGTGAACTTCAGAGGCTAATTTGGTATCACATAATGTTTTCCACATTTATACTGTTGATGTCAAAAAATCAGAAGAATAAACATGGTTCAACTTTGACCTATTAATCATCTGTAATATTTAGTCATGCTGCATGATTATGCAATAACAGCCAAAATAAAGCTGTTGGGAATAAAAATTCTGAAGTCAATGACCTTAGCAAAGGAAAAACACTTCAGTTTAAATGTTAGGCAAATGAATGTATTTTGAGTAAAACAACAGCATTACAGAACTGAAAAACATTTTTTCAAATACATTTTGAGAAAACATCCTTGCTGGGAATATAATCCTACAAAGGTTCAATTATATGCATTGTTGTTGTTGTTGTCATGTGCTGTCGAGTCAGCCCGACTCACAGCAACCCCTCCTTGGGTTTCCGAGGCAGTATCACCACAGAAGTAGGACTGCCCAACCTTCCTTCCGAGGAGTAGCTGGTGGGTATATGCATTAGTTATATTAAATTGGTGTACTTCACTTGCAGAGGTTTTGTTGTGTTTTGTTTTTAAAAGTGATAGCAGAGGGGCTTACCATTGACACAACTCCTTAGGTCAGGATAAGCATTGGTTGACTGACGTGAAGCAGTGAATAATCCAGTTCTGAAAGAGCTAAGACAAGCTGCAAATGCAAACAAATGTAATCTTATAACAGACACACTGCATCTGAAATCATGATAGAGATTACCCTAAGGGGCAGGATATTTATGTTGCTATGGAACCTATGTATTCAAATTGTCAACCCTAAATATTTCCACCCACCATTTTTGAAAATTAAAAATCTAAAACCATGACTGCAATAAATACAGAATGATGGTAAACAAGTTTATGGCAGCTTGTTCTCTCTAAAGAAGAGTTCAATGCCAAAAGTGAAAAAGACCTTGGTTTTGCAGGGAAATTTATCGTCACATAAATCTGTGTCCTTAATTCTGTAACAGAAATCTAAAGTTACCCTCAAATCTGTAGATCAGACTCTTACATAGAAAGTGAAAAATTAAGTCAATTGCATGAGTAGGTGTTTCTTCTTACTGTGGGCAAGTTCCAGTTATTCTAATGTTGCATGTTGTTGTTGTTACGTACCGTTGAGTCACATCTGACTCATAGTGACCCCTCCTTGGGTTTCCGAGGCAGTATCACTACGGAAGTAGATTGCCCCATCTTCCTTCCGAGGAGTGGCTGGTGGGTTTGAACCGCCAGCCTTCTGGTTAGCAGTCAAGTGCCTTAGCCACTATGCTACCAGAGCTCCATAGAGTCTAATAAAATAGTATTTGTTTGTTATTGTTATTATGTGCCATCAAGTTAGACCTGACTCATAGCGACCCCTCCTTGAGTTTCCAAGGTGGTATCACTACGGAAGTAGATTGCCCAACCTTCCTTCTGAGCAGTGGCTGGTGGGTTTGAACCAACAACCTTCTGGTTAGCAGTCAAGTACCTTAGGCACTACACTACCAGAGCACGCCTCAATATTTACACAGCAGGCTTACTTCATTGATTTTGTTCCTCATCATACCCAGTAAAATAGAAATAGTAAACTGGCAGATGTTGCTAGTAAACTAAAATAATAGAGATAACTGATTTAGGGACTTTAAGCTAACTGGAAGTCACTCAGTGCCAAAATATAACACTTCCTTATAACTGGAGAAGACAGCATTATATACATCAGTTCACTGTACACGGTCACTAACTTAATAAATACTTTTATTTCAATTATTTTTTTGGTAACAAATGACCCCTAAATGTAGTGGCTTAACCGACCATTCTATTTTGCTTGTGGTTCTTGAATCAAATATTTGGGAAGGACTTGGCTGGGCCATTTGTCTGTGTTGCATGTAGAGTCTGGGTAGCTGTGGTTGGAGGATACACTTCCAAGATGGCCTTCCACTCATATCCACATCTCATACTCCTTGATATATTTCTCTCCATTTAACTTCTTCTCTTTCAGGACCTCACCATATGGTTAAGCTTTTCTTAGTATGTTAGTCTCAAAGTGGCACTTCTTTCATGGTGGCTAACTCTCAAGAGGTAGAAGGTAGAGGCTGCCAGACAAATTAAGAAGCACTGTGTCACTTTCAGGGAGCTCTGTTGGCGTAGTACCTAAGACATTTGACTGCTAACCAGCTGGCGGTTCAAACCCACCAGCCACTCCTCGGAAGGAAGGTTGGGCAATTTACTTCTGCAGTGACATCACCTCGGAAACCCAATGAGGGGTTGGTATGAGTCACATCCGACTCAACGGCAGTGCGTTTGGTTTTTTTTTGTTTGGTTTTGTGTCACTTTCAGGACCCCTGGGTGCCACAAATGGTTAAGTACTCAGCTACTAACCAAAAGGCAGTGGTCTGAATCCACCCAGAAGTACCTTCAGAAGAAAGGCCTACTGATCTCCTTCCAGAAGATCAAAGCCACTAAAAACCCTATTCTAAAAAATAGAGGGTTACTATGAGTCAGAAGCCACTCAAGGGCAACTACTTGTGTGTGTGTGTGTGTGTGTTTAGTGGAAGCATCATTTTCACCAAAGTCTACTGATCAAAGCAGTTAGAGGCTCCACCCAGATTCAAGGAGATTGCAGAGGCTGGAATAGATTCCACAACTTAATGCAGTAGTGGCAAAATAATACTGCAGAAGATTACATGACATGGGAGTAATTGGCAGACATCTTTGCAAAACTCAAGTTACCACAGATGGATTTGAAACCTCATTTGAAATCAGTAATAGTTGTATCAGTTTACAACTGAAGATGGTTGCAGGATTATCATGCTCTGTTACACAAGAAGTAACCACGAGTCAGAACAAATATGACAGCAACTGAAAATAATGAGTCTCCCATTGCTACCATAAAAAATTATCACAAAACTTGTTGTTGCTGTTGTTAGGGGCCGTTAAGTTGGCTCCAACTCATAGCGACCCTATGTACAACAGAACAAAACACTGCCGGGTCCTATGCCACCCTCACAATACTTGCTATGCTTGAGCCCAACCTTGCAGCCACTGTGTCAATCCATCCCTTTGAGTATCTTCCCTTTATTCATTGACCCTCTACTTTACCAAGCATGTTATCTTTCTCCAGGGAAAATATAATTTGTTGTTTCTAACAGCTAAAAATTACTCCATAGCATGCAATCACCATTTTCATGATGCTCTCTACACAATAATCAAATTGCCACCAACTTCTCACATTCACAAGGATGCAGGGACACTGGATATTGCAGGGACAACTGATATGCATGTACTTAATGACTCTCCAGGGAGCTCTGGTAGTGTAGTATCTAAGGCACTTGACTGTTAACCAGAAGGCTGGCGGTTCAAACCCACCAGCCACTCCTAGGAAGGATGATGGGGGCAATCTACTTCCGTAGTGATATTGCCTTGGCAACCCAAGGAGGGGTCACTATGAGTCGGGTCTGACTCGACGGCACATAACAACAACAACGACTCTCCAAAGGTGCATTCCCACCTGCAGACCACAAGGACTTTTACCTTTTTTTCCTAACTTTTCCAGACTAATAAGTAATAAAGTAATATCATACATCTTTGATTTCCAATGAGATACACTTATTTTTCAAATTTTTGGGTTTCCTCCTCTGAAAATTTTCCTTATTTATTTTTAACCACTTTTAAGCATTTATTAAACATTTTAACCATTTTTAAACATTTATTATTGCTCTTGTGGTTTTGCAGAAGTTTACTAATTTACAAATATCATCTTCCCTTCTATTTACACTATCTGTGGTATCTGTCCTTTATTTAAAAGAAGTTCTTAATTTTAGTGTAATCAAATTTATACATTCTTTATATCTTAATCAAAATTACCTAATTTTTTTTGCTTTATGGTTTGTGTATTTGAAGTAATTTCTATGACATTAATCATAATTCAATATTCTCCTGTATTTTTTCTTTAATTTTATATTTTCACTTTGACATTTTTACCTTTGTTCTACCTAGAACCCACTTTTATGTTAATTGGTAATTAGTGCTTATAGTTAGCCAATTTCCCAACACCACTTTCTAAACAATGTACAGTGATTAGTAGTGTCATTTCTATTGAATATTAGTTTGCCATACATGCATAGGTCTGCCTCTGAGTTCTCTTTTCAGTTGCATTAGTCTATTATTATTAGTCATTAGTGTTCTTCTGCCAATGTCATATCATTTCATTTCTATAGCTTTGTTATTAATGTTTCATAAGATATGGTCTTCTTTCTTTAGCTTTGTATTATTATTATTATTTGGTTTAGTGTTTCCCCTCTTCTGCACTTTTTTCAGGTTGATCTAGGCATATGTGAATTTCACCCCATGATTTAAATTTTAAATTGAATTTACTGAATTCTTCAAAAAAAAATGTCCAACTGACATTCTAATTGGATTTTTTTTAACTGTGAAGACTAATTTGGAAGAGAGCTGACCTGTTTATAAATCCATTCAATTCAGATCATGAAACACTTTTCCAGATTTCAGTTCATCTTCTATATCCTTAATTTGTGCTAAAATTTTCTCCATACAGGTTTTACCTATTCTTAAGATATTTCTAGATATTTTATATGCTTCTATTGTGAATGGTTTCCTTCTTTTATTGTCATTGTTTATACAGACAACTTCTTATTTTTATATCATAGTTTTAGACTACAATGTCTTATGAGTTCTTGTTCTCAGAGTTTGTTTTATTATAGTTTTTTATTATTATTATTTTCTTGAGTTGATTATTTAGGACTTTTTAAAAATTCTTCAATCTTCCCTCCTTGTACTGCAGTAAGCCCTCCTGTTCCCATCCATACATATCAGATCAAGTCAGCCTTCAGTCTAACCACAGGTTTCTCACACTTCCTGTACTTATTGGTATGTTTGCTACTATTAGTGTCTAATAGCTCCCTGTTTCCTTAAAGAGGGTTTGAAGGGAGAGAGTTATCACCCTGAGCTAATTCACTAACTTGGTAAGAACTAGAGAGTAAAAATATATTTCTAATGTTTTTATTTAGGCTCAAAGTTTATCATTCTTCAAAGAATATTTTTCTCCTATTAAAAGAATCAGTTCTGACTCACAGCGAGCCCCTTTGGGTTTCTGAGGCAGTAAAATCTTTACGGAATTGAAAGAATCATTCATTCAATCAAGAATGACCTATATAGATAGTAAAGCTATTTATCCTATTTCCTAATGAAGAAAATAACATAATTTAATAATTCATGTTTGTGTAATAAAATCCAGTGGAACATTTCTACTCCAAATTACATATTTTCAATGCAGAACATAGGATATGTGGACAGACTTCAGTGTTTTCTGAGCTCCTGAAACTCTAAATCTAAAAACAATGTCCAAAAATTAGTGGCCTAATTTCCTGGGTGACCTAATGTAATTGTAAGTAGTTCCCTGCCTGAGCTACCATGGTTTGGTATATAATATTAAAGCTTTGTATATAATATTAAACTTACCACAGGTAGGATTCTAAGGTTTTTCCAATTGAGAATTCATTAGACTATGGGATATACACATCAAGAAAAATTTAACTTAGTTAGGGCTTCCACCCCCCACTTCCTGCCCCCAGTTTCAACAGCGGAATTCATCTCATATGCCTATGTACAAATAAAAACCTAAATATAAAATTTAGATAAAAAATAAGTCATAATAAACAG